TTCGCTGTAAATAACAGTAATCTTGCAGTTGTCGAAGTATTTATACGGAGGCTTTGACCTTGGATGCGCACGTAACATGAAGATGCTGCGGGCAAATAGGGCGGGGGTTGGGGGTAATATCAGAGTGAGGAGATTAGAATAAAGCAGGCTTTCGAGCCAGAGACCACTGCCTGGGCTTACACTGCTTTCGCAAGCTGGTTCGTCCCTCTAACCATTGCCAGCTACGGGCTGAGAATGCTGTTCCTGTGCCACCGTTAAGTGCCATTTTCATGCATATATGTATATGTGGTTAGACATTTGTACAAAAAGAATATGCTTTTCCCAAAGCCAGCTTGACTGTGATCCAGGTTCCGGAGCAAGTACAATCTGCTCCAGGAGCTGGAGGAGCGGAATTTTTATCCCACACGTCCCAGCCCTGAGCTCTAAGCATTTGTTGTATTTCTGAAGCCATGAATAGCCTTGCTGTACTCCGAAATGATAAGATCCTCCTTGCATGAATATCCCAAACGAAGGCTCAGAAAGCCACTACATCCCAAGTACGTCATCCTAGCTCCAGCCTCCAGGAGTTCGATCTTGACAGCGTACAGTGCTCGAAGCAATTCGATCGAGTCCTGGCTGTTTTGACAGCAGCAGTTGCATCTGTTGGCGCGAGTCCAGTGTCGTTGGAGAGGGAAAGCTGGTCTCAGAATGTTGTACTGTGTAGGCATAGCTTAACCATCTCAACCTTGGTTTTGTGGCAGCTAGGGTCCCTGCTTGCTCAGGGGATTTCATCCACTCAGCTATCGTGAAGTGGTACGGCAGCAAGCAGGCTTTCACAAGTTATGTGAGATACGGCCTGAAAGAGGAGCTGGCTTCAACATTGTTTGCTGCCAAGCTTCCTTACGAGTACTTGCTGCTTATCGCGACTCCCACTATCAGCCTCTGTCTTGAGTTTCTCCTTGCTAGCTGGAAGGGTGGTGTGCCACTTGAGCACTTGGTGTCCTACAGTGTTGTCGTCATTCTGGCCTTGGGAGTGTTCTGGATAGCCGCAGCGGTCATGCTAATGATCTATCTTTGCGACTACTTCGCCCCATGCCAGTGGGGCCTATGTGATCACATATTGACTGTGATCATCATTTGTCTAGTCACTGGCTTCGTGAGTGCGGGCACTCAGCTGGCAGCCTATGCCTTTGACTTTGGCGTGGAAGGTGCTGTTTTGTATCTTTGTGCCTGGGATGCCGAAAAGAAGCATTTGGGACTTGAGATGCAAAGCCCCGAGCCCTAAAACCAACCCCCTAACATTATAGTAGTTTCCATTTTATTTTCCATTATCCCTATACAACCCCTATATACCCCCTATATAATGCCTGTAGTTTCCATTTTCTTGTCCATTATTCCAATATAACCCCTATATAACCCCTACATACCCCAAACCCTTATCGTCAAAACCCGGCAGGTGCTTCTGTAGTTATGGCGGGTTCGGTGAAGTGGCTGGAAGGCAAGACAGGTCGCCCCAGCACGCCTGCCCGCAAACCAGGAGAGCCTCTGGGACAGCGTTAGCTTTCGCTTTTTATACTTCTATTTTCCGAGATACACAGGTTATGATTTTCGGACGTCATGATAGATTAGGAAGGGATTTGTTTTGTGGGCCAGGATGGCAGGCTGAGCCGAGAGACCAGGAGAGCTGCATACTGGGATGATAAAGGTTGAGAAGCATTGCCCAAAGTGCTTTGCAAGATCCCAACAAACCATGTGTCTGCTGCGAGCTACGGCCATATCTTCCAAGAAGACATGGCGTAGCAACGGAATGGGTTCTCACGTTACTGGTTGCAATTTGACATTGCTTAGGTGCTCGCACCCTTTTCGAGCCGTTCGTAGGATGCATTTGGACGCTTTCATCTACGCAGGTGCGAGTCCGCTGTCAGCTGGTGCCTGCGTGGTTTTCCACAGGCCAGTGCCTCTCTGAGGGCCCTGGCCTGAAGTCCTCTTGGCCTTTACCGAAAGTGTCGCAAATGCAGGTGTCCGAAGGCACGGTATGTGTGCAAGTTGTGGTAAATGTAGAGGCGTCAGGCAATATATCTTTGATCCTTGTCCTGCTTTGCAGTTGCCTTTGGCTATGGTGTTTCAATTTCAGACTTGGCGCGAGAAATGCGCATGAACGCCAACAGCGTGTTGAATATTCTCCTGTCTTGCTGCTTCGCTCTGGATTTGATTCATCGTCACACAATGAATACGCCTAGACCACCTCCCCTCAACGCCAACCTGCAAGATCCCGCAGGATAGAGTCCCAAGCATGCCATCCTAGCACATTTTTCTTGCACCTCTCATTTGCAAGGCCTCGCGCAAGATGACAAATGCGGTGCCGCAAATCGCTCAAAAGTCTTTGTGAGGGCGTGCGGCGACGTATCAGGGAAAGCAGCTATTCGCACAGCTCGTTGTCTTTCATTCTTGCTTCTGGAATTCCAGAGCAGTTTTCAACAGTTCGCCAGATTGGACTGTGTGCCTCCATGAAAAAGGAAGGCCGCTGGCTTGAGGCAACCGTCGGGAGACGATTGAATCCACAAACGAGGGGGTCCGTCTTCGCATGGGCCCCCTCACAGTGGAGTGTTCAGCATTTTGCGTGCAGGATGATGGTTGTAACGTCTGGGAGGCTTCTGATACATGTGTCTTCTCAGGGGTCCCAGGCTAAGCCTTCTACAGAGGGTATAAGGGTCCTCTTGAAGACTGCCGGGTCTCATGAACTGCCATTTCATGCGCGAGATTCTTCAGTGCTTTGCAGGGGTGATGTTTGGGAACCCAGAGCCTAAACCGTAAAGGCTTGCCGAACGCTTGGCCCAGGTTGCAAGTTTCCTTTGAGTACATACGAGCTATAGGTCTAAAGTCCTTGAAAGGGGGGGTTATATGGGGAACTATATACGGGACTATTATAAGGGTTATTAAGGGGGATACTAGGCTCATATACCCAAGCTTCAGAACTATTGTAACTCGTTTTCCTTACCCCTAATCCTAAAGCCACAGCCCACCATCCTCCCTGACTTTCCCGAAAACGAAGAAACTACGGTAAAAGAGCAAGCAAACGAACAACCATCAAAGTAATACATGCAGAGTCCAACTCAACAGCAAAAAACACAAGTAATAGTAATAGTAATAGTAAAAGTAATAGTAACAGTAATAGTAATAGTAATGGTAATAGTAGTAATAGTAGTAGTAGTAGTAGTAGTAATAGCAATAGTAATAGTAGTTGTAGTAGAAATAGCAATAGTAATAGTAGTTGTAGTAGAAATAGCAACAGTAACAGGGCTTAGCGTTTATGGTCATAGAAGTAGTGCCAGGTCCCATGATAATACGTCGGCTGCCAGCATCTTGCAACAGGCGGCGGCATGGAAGGCGTCCCTCGAGCTGCTGGAGGCCCTTTCACGGGTCCATCAAAAACGCTTTTTAGCGGTTTAGGGTTTAGCAGTTCAGGGCTTAGGGTCTAGGGATTTCATTTTCCACGTACTGCAGATCACATGGAAAGGAACATGGAAAATTGAATGGAAACTGGGGAGATAGAGTTTTCTTTATACGGATCAGGGTTTCACAAAACTAGAGATACAGTTGTGGGGGTACTTATAGTGAAGATTGCATTTGGGGTCTATTTGGGGAAAACTACTAGTGTCATGTAGTAGGAAACTCTTAGGGTCTTAGGGTTGTGCAGTACTGGTTAAGGGTTTACATGGATGATGTGAGCCTGTGGCAAAGAAAATGGAGGCGACTAGATAATGTAGGCTCTACGGCTTATTGGTGTAACTAGCAGGGAATCAAGGAATGGGTGACAGTGTCCGGGACTACTTATGTAAGGTAGGGATCCGCTCCATTCCTTTACCCCGTCCAAGTAAGACCGTGCTTAGAGTTGTAAAGACTATATGAGGCATAGTCTAAACTCCTTTAAGGGGGCTTTTATAGGGGATTACATAGGGGACTACTACAGGGCTTATTAAGGGGGATACTAGGAGTTTAGACAATTACTCATATGTTAGATTATACTGAGATTGGTAAGTTTGCTCGAGGCTCTGGAAAAGCTTCTAGGTGAATAAGATGTTGTACGCGTTTGGAGTAACTTGTTGGACTTCGGAAGATACGGATTTTGCGGTAATGGTGATAGTATATCGGTTGCCTTATGGAATGAGAACTGTTGACCACGAATGAAGATGAACTCTATCTTGCAAGTAGTATAAGGCAATACTACAATACTTTTCAGCAAAGGCTTCTCAGAAACAAAATCAACGTGCAGGAGCTGCTGGAGAGAAAGGTGGAGGCGGAGGTCTCTGAGTTCACGGCTGTGGTGCTGGATCCTCGGCTGTAACAGGGTAAGGGTAAGCCTTCCTTCCCGTTTAAAGGTCTTACAGCCATTGTGTATCCCTTCTGATCCTTTCACAGTAACAGAGTGAAGCATGAAGTTGGGAGAAACTTCCCAGGCGTGCGAGCGCGCCTCTCAATGGACCATTGGCCTGCAGCAGTTTGAGCAGATGGCACCCTGACCACATCTCAGGGTTCGGAGGATTAACGTTCTGCTAAAAAGTCAGTGGTTACAAACTAGAATGCCGTGTTTAGGAGGACTGCTACCGCTGGGAAGTTCTGTATAAAGAGCGATTGTGGCTTTAGTTTGAGATAACTCTCGCTTTTCACGCAAGGCTGGGCAAATCCCTCCAGACCTCCGGGCCCACACCGCGGCGCTGCAGTGCCTTCCAAGTTGGCAGAGGACCATCGCTGCCTTGGCGGGCTTGGCGGAACAGCGGCTGGAACCTGGTCTGAATACATATGTACTCTAGTCTAAACTCCTTAAAGGGGGGTTATATAGCAAGCAGTGGCTAACCCC